TTCATGACAAACTAATTAAAGGATGAGGGTAGAGAGTTCAAGATGGCATCAATCTTAGTGTCATCCTCTAGTTAGGAGCCAAGAGCCTCCATTTCATTTATATACCCTATCATCTACAAGACATGGTTATGAACTGGTTGGCTCTCAGTCATCCTTGTGGTCATCAATAGTTTGAGGACCCTCTGTCTTGTATTACGATTTTTCTCCTCATACATGGTTTTAAGACTATCCAAGATATCTCTGGAGATATCAATTTTGTCAAACTATCTCTAGATGAATTATCCAAGGAGGCTATGGCATAACACCTACAAAGAGAATTTTTCTCTTCCTATTCCTGATATTCGCTTCTTCTTGCCTCAGAAACCCTATCGCCCTAATGTTCTGGTGTTGGTTTTTGGCAACCTCGTCCAATTTTTCAGACATGAGCGCCAGGTTTAGGTTATGAAACCAGTCTGCATAGTTAGGTCCTTTTAATTTGTTATCGTCTAATAATTTATAGGGGTGCAAGTTGGGTGGGTTGGGTCGGTTTAACGTTAACCCAAATCTGACCCTAAAATTTGGGCTTAAGGCCCGAGCCTAAGGTCAAGCCCGATTTTCCCAACCCGGGCCCAGCCCACCTTTAATTTGATGCACTCGGGTTGGGCTCGAGCCCAAGCCAGGTTTAGGTTGGTCAATGAACCTACTCTAAAATTATACATATATAACTGTATTTATGCAAATATATTTACATATATTTATGTATGTATGTATGTAATATGTATGCAAAATATCTATACAAATGTTATATATACAAATATACATGTATGTATATGTAAATATGTATGCAACATTTACATATATACACATATATATGTATAAATGTATATAATTGGGTCAGGCTCAGGCCGGGTTTGGGCTACCTAAGGGCTAGATTCGAGCCCAACCCAAAAAATAAAAAAACCAACTTCTTGGGCCTGATCCCATCCCGAAGACCAAAAATCCAAGCCCAACCCATGTAAAATTCTGGGTTTGGCCAGTTTGGGCTCGGGCTAGGCCCACGCAAGTTGCACCCCTACCAATTTAGTAAATTGTCTGTGTGCCATTTCTGATAAAAGGCATGATTAATTAGTCCACGACCTTAATGTTGTTTCATGTTATCTTTCATACAATGGACTTTTTTCTATTTTTCATCTCCATTTGTTCATCTTTGAGATTTTCCTTCTATCTCAGTGATGATGACATAGTTCATGTCCTTGGAAATGTGGGAAATCACATAGTTGCATGGGGCCAACTGTTTCAATTGTATAGCCCCACCAATTTTTGTAAAAAATCACATATCCACCCATCAAATGAGCTTTCCCTTTGGCCTCAATCAGACAAGGTTCAATGTCATTTTAGGTTAAACCTTTCTAGTTGGTAAGTGCAGACCTATCATATCGAGAGCTCCAAGTTACTATATAAGTCTTCCATTTTAGGATAGGCCCCTCCCACTAGTCTATGACGCCCCTATCATTTCATGAAGCAATCCTACTGACTATCTCAATAAAATGAATAGCCCAATTTTATGGTGCATCTCCACCCACTAATTCAGTCCGTTTTCATGCTAATGAAGGAAGGCCTTTAGAGATATTTATATTATGATATTCCTTATCTCATTGCACTTATATTAATCATGAAGGAACGTGTATATCAGTCCCTACGTCAGATTTAAGTCATATAATAGTGGCTCCCACTAGCTTTCATAAAGTCATATTTAAATGGGTCATTTAATGGGTTAGGGTTCTCCTAAGGTTCCTCTTGTGGAGGAAGCTATTGAGAGGGCCCATTAGAAAAGGAGGATCATGCAATGATCCATGGGAATCATAGCAATGATGTGCATTCAACCATAATGTTCATAGAAAGCCATATAAGTGAATACATGGCCCAAGAACTTATAACTCATGAACGAATCACATCCATTCAGCACATTTCATACACATACATAATTGATCAATATCAATTAAAAACTTGTAAAATCCATATCCATTTAGATTAATACATGGTCATCCCATTAATGAACCAAATTATTCAATAATTTTATCTTGCCATATGGGCTAAACTACAAAAAACAGTTTAACCTATATAGCAATCCATGTTGAAATGGGCTAGTCTTGTTTTAATCTAACATAAAAATGTTTTTCAAGTATGGGCCAAATTGGTCCATGCAATGGGCCATCAAACCCCTAGTCTAGATCGATTTTGGGCTACTTAAATAGTGACCCTAGGGGGTGTGATCAGACCCCAAAGAACCATAGTTTCGATCCAACAAGATTGTACCAAAACTAAGTCAGATTAGCCTAAGGTTTGGTGTCCAAAACATGCATCAACTCATATAAGTAACGATATGAAATTCTCAATTATGGTTCACAATCATATCAGCAATAATGGTTCACAATCATATCAACAATTATGGTTTACAATCATATCAACAATTCTCAGACTACCCCAACATGCCCAGGTTTTTACCCTTGATGGATCTCACTGATTGGCATATCAAAGACAGTCCAATCCAACACCTAGTGCAGTACTATAATCAAGTTTAGGGGTTGATTATGTGTAAATTTTCAATTTTTCCCATCAATCTCCAAGGTCCAGGGCATAATTGGAAAATGGTCTTGCTTCAGTGTTTCATCCAAACACACACAAAATGTCTTCAGGTCTAACCCTAGCAACTAAGACAATCTACCCCAACTTCTTTGGTAGCACATCAATGTTAGCCTTGACAAGATAAACTTCCCAACTATATCCAATGGCTAAGAACATTCTAAACTAACACGAGTCTCATAAGCGTCCAGTTTAAGGGGTAATTACATAAAAACCTACCAATATCAACATGAAACAATAATGTACTTCTATTCATTTATAATAAATGTATCTATACATCAATTTGATTGGAGCTATGGGCATACACTATCTAACAATACTTTGGGTCTAGTCTCACTTTGCCCTCCGAACTTCAAAACGTACCAATCTAGTACCTAAACTAACAAAGATCAAAATTGTACCAAAGCAACAGATCGGTTATTGATAAGAGATTTGGACATTTGGATGGTTGATAAAGAAAATTAGATAACACCCAAAGGGCATTTGCATCCTTTCACATGCCATTTAACGACAGTAAATAATTTCATACTAAATCGACACGTTTTAAAGTTCGTGGACCAAAGTGAGACTAGGCCCAAAATACAAGGTCCTAATCTACAATTTTCCCTTATAGTTATATAAGAAAATTTGTACATATTTTCAATTAATTCTACTCTTAAATTGGGTCATAAATCCCAATAAAATATAACTATATAAAAATTTATACGTAAATGGTAAGATTTTCTTTGAGTATTTATTATACACACGATGGTTCCCATAATATTTTGGTCCCATATGTTTTCTTTTTCCTTCTCCAATTTCATAGGTCCAGGTTGCAAACATGTACAACCCCTGAACCCCCCCCCCCCCCCCCCCCCCCCCCCCCCCGTAGTCTCTATTGTAAATTGAACCTTGTATGGGTCTTTTGCAGGTGGGCTGTCAGGAAGGATTTAAAAATTTGCAGTTCCACCTCCCTTGCAAAGATAAATTTGCATAATTTTTTAATGAATTTTACAATGATTATTTACGTTTATCAATCGTTTCTAATCACGATTTTCTTTCGATAAAGGAAGTATTCATCTTTGATACTAACACCCAAAACTTTCAACCATTTCTATAATTAATATTGTGGATAGTTGCATATTAGTGTCATGTATTTTGGGCCCAACCGCACTTTGGTCCTCAAACTTCAAACCGTACCAATCCGGTACCTAAACTTCCAAAACGTGCTAATTTAGTCTCTGTCATTAGCAGCCCGTTAATTATCTCTATCACGTGATGACATCATCTTCTACTCAAGAATCAAGATTGAACCAAAGCAACTGATTGATTTTTGACAAACTACTTTTCTCTATTTGCTTCTAAGAGGTTTGGGTATTTGGATGATTAATAAAGAAAATTAGATGACATTTGAAGGGCATTTGCTTCCTTTCACATGCCACTTAATGACGGTTAACAGTTTTGTACTAAATTAACACATTCACATTTTGAAGTTTGGAGACCAAAGTGAAACTATACTCAAAGCACATGATACTAATATCTAATTTTCCCTTGATTTTACATAGGCCTGCAAACAGATCGGATTGGATTCAAACCTGATCCGACACTGTTCATGTTGGATCTGATCCAATCCGAAGATCCAATCGGATCTGATAAGACTCAATCTGAATTCGAATCCTATCGGATCTTTGGATCTGATTTGATCCGGCTTGTTTTCTTTAAAATTAATACATTATTAAAAGAAAAATAAAATATACTAATTTAAATAAAGAAAAAAAAAGATATAAATTTTATAATTATTTCCATCATATATATACATATATACATGTTTTTATAAAAAAAATAAATAATATAACAAATATATAAAAATATAATATGAATAATATATTTATAAATAAATAAATAACATATATATATATATATATANATATATATATATATATATATATATATATATATATATATATATATATATATATATTTATCGGATCAAATCTTCTCAGATCAGATAAGAAGTGATCATCCAAATCCAATCCGATTCGAAGATTCGATCAGGGGTGATCCGAATTTGACCAAATAGGATCGCATCTCGAATCAGATCATTATCCATTTGCACCCCTAATTTACTGTTAACTTTGATAGAATGAGAGAAATTTCAAAAATGTCCTTATAGGTTTTGGGTATATTTAAATCTAATCCCAAAAGCGCCTTACCTGTAGGTGAGTCACCTGGCTTTTCACATGGCCAAAATAATGGCTATATGACATATCAAATTTTCCTCTAAATATGCCACCTGTAAATTAACAACAGATGTTGGCATGTAAAGCAAATTTTGATGTCTATTTTTATAAAATAGACCTGAACAGCAGTTATTGGAGGATATGTGTGGAAAAGGAATATGAAGGGACTTACTTTTGGTGATTGATCTTCGAAGTTATCTTCTAAGTTAAAAAAATAGGTGATATACACGCAAAACATAGAGAACAGGTTATCCTACCAAACTTTAAGCCTTTGAGAGAGCCGACTGATAGTTTCATAAGTAGATGAGAGAAAACATCCGACAAAGATGTATAGGGCGATTCCATTCAACAACATTCGCATAGAAGAACAGTCTATACACCTGTAAATTAATTGGAATTATACACATGAACCGTAAATCCATTGGGCATTATACATGAATATATTTAATAAATACATTAGATTGGGGCATTCCTACCATGCTTGCAGCTGAAAACAGAATTTTATTCATCATCAGCCAACGCATATAGAGACTTAAATTGATGGCGATTCCCAACCTGCATATGCAAAAACCTACAACTAAACTAGATTGAAAAACCATATTTGTCTAAGGCCTTCCCGCCTTGCTCGCATCTTGTAGTCTGAACTCTAAGATCCTGAAACAAAGAAAAAAGATTTAAGGAGAATGACTGATCAGCACAGGGTCAGAATTTGAGGGGTAAGTGCTAGCTCTAAATTGATGCCAATTCATGAGTGGACGTTGGTGCATAGAATGTGGGTTGTAGACCTTTTGAATGTTTATAGCTCTGTAGTAGAAATCAGAAATCTGCATTGGGCAAATCCGTACTTCCTTGAAAGATTTAACAATCTTGAAGGAAAAACAAATGTCCAGAATTCAAAATTAATCATGGTTAAACATGCCAGTTGCTGGTACATCTTGGTTTCAAATGTCGCTAATGTCGCCCGACATATGTCGATGTCAAGTCTCACCGACATAAAAGTGGATGGTAATATAAAAATTACATTATTTCGGTCAACATTTCCTATATTTTGGAAATATCGACCAAATCGGTCCAAATAACCAAAAAAAAGGCAATTTTTCCTATTATATCAACAAGATGTCGATAATGTCGATAGGATGCCAACTAATGTACATTAATATATTATATTATTATAATAAGTATATTAATATAAATTATTCCATTAATAATTTCTATTTAATATTTCAAATAAAATATTTATAAAAAAGAATTAACAAAATATAAAACAAAAGAATAAAGTAATTACTTTATAATATAAAACATAAAATATTTTTCAAGTAATAAAATATTAACTAGTTAGTATTTTTAAAATATTTATTAAAATCAGAAAATGTTTATTAAATTTTATAATAAATTATATTCTACATTTAATATAAAAAATGAGAATAAATTTATTAAATTTTATACTAAATCATAATTTATTATAAATTTAGTATTAAAAATCATAATAAATTCATTAAGTTTTATAAGAAATCAGAATTTATCATAATCTTAATACTATAAAAAGGAGAATCARTTTATTAAATTTATAATAAAACATAATGTATTATAACTTTAATATTTAAAAAATCAGAATAAACAGATTTCTATTTACTAGTGTGAAATAAATATATTTGAATTTATAATAAATCAGAATTAAAAATAAGAAAAGAAAATATCAGAAAACCTTGTAAAAACATCAAAATGCATAATAAATCAGTAAATCGTCATTTACTAATTTGTTATTGATCTTAGTTTCTTAGCTTTATATAATGGTTGGGAATAAGATAATAGTTTAGAAATATGTCTTAATGCTTCTTTTATCATTTTACAAAATATCATTAAATATTTCCACATATTTCATAATATTTCCACAATGTCTCTAATTTTTACAATATTTCCCTCGACATTTCCGACATATGTCCTATATTTTGGTAAATGACATCGACATCGACATCGACATTTTAAACCTTGCCACAGGTCGCTGATGTAATTACTCGTGATTGGCTTATGTAGATAGCCCGTTGTACACATCTTGTTTGTAGCAGATCCAACGTCTTGTTCTAATAGAGCTTCCTTACGCTAAACAGGAAGAAGTCCAACTTTCTTTCCACAAACAGGAAAAAGATCTTACGAAAAGTGATATTTGAAAAATAAAGGTCCAGCCCTCCACAGTTTCCAGAAACACGCCCAAAAATAAAATGGACACCTTGAGGCATGAGGTACCTATGGACAACACAGTACCCACCTTTTCCTTATCTACCAGATATCAGGTCGCAGCTCCCCAGTTGCTGGGGGCATCCATCTCCCAGAATGGTAGACACTTTCGCCAACTTTCCAGCCAGGCACATCCTTCATGATTCTGGCCTCCTCTTCCAAATATTTGCTCCATTCTCTAACAAATCTAAATTGAAGAAAACAAATAACAGATGCTTTTCACTTCTCTGAAAAGAAGAGGAAAGAACAGAAGGCAGCATAGCAAGGGTTTTTACCTTTCGTCCTCTTCAGCTTGAAGCATGGGCAATATTGCCCTGCGAGCAGCATATTTCTCTTCCTTGAGCTCCCTGTGTAGTACACACAACATAATGGCTGGATAAGTGACTGAGAATGCAATGCTCAAGAAGTTACAAGAAATAATTGAAAACATATCAGAACCCTCCTACAAACTTCATTCTCAAGAATGAAGCTGAAGCATCCATCCCAAGCAATGATGGGAACTGTGTGTGTGTGTGTGAGAGAGAAAGAGAGAGAGAGAGAGAGAGAGATGTTTACAGACAAATTTGTAGTCTTCAATCTAAAAGGTAAATGAAATTTGCCAAACCATACCAGAGAAAGAAAATTGTAAGCAAATTGAAGCATATAAGAACAGAAATAGAGCTTCCTAGACTATGCTTTCACAAAAATAATAGATTGCTGATGACCCAGTAGATAAGATGGTCACTTGGCAGCCCTCTCAATATGGAGGCACAGGATCAAACCTGCGTAACTGCAGGCTCTCCATGGTAAGGTCAGTGGACCTCACATGCACCCTGCTCTGTCTTCACCCCCTTAATCTCCCTGTAATGTGTAATATGTAATATCAAATAAAACATAATAGATTTCAACATATATATCTTCAATGGCATGCTGAACTTCTAGATAGTTGACTAGTAGAGTGACATGTGCAAGGAGAGAGGGGGAGGGAAGGGAGATGATTAGTGGGGTGAAAACAGATGGACTAAAGTTTTGGAATGCCCATCATATTTATGTGAGGCAAGGGAAGTATGAGAATCATATGGTAAATATATTGTTCCAAATATTGGATACATGCAGTAAAACATCCCAATGAGCCACCAAAAACAGGACTCTAATTTCAGGTCTAATTCCTTAAAAAAGAAGAAAGATCAAACAACAGCTACAAGCTTCATGTTTTGGACAGCCAACCCTGCTCACTCTTTGCGGAAAAATAATTATAGCGCTATATGGTGAGAATTAACGGGTAAGAAGACAAAAAGAGAAGGCAAAAAACGTAATTCTTAAAGAGCCAAAAGTGGGACTGGTGGCACCTACATTATTATTTCTTTTAGGGTATTCTAGTAAAAGATGATATTGTAATAATACCACCAAGTCACTGTGGCTCAGTTTGGAAAGAGTACAAATACATATGTACAGTACAAATACATACAATACAAAATACAAGGTTTTGCACTCTACATATTTGTATGTGTACTCCTTCCCAACTGAGTCTAAAGAACAGAATTACAATATTCCCCCTCAACCTAGCTCATATATATTCATTCCCAACTTGTTTACACAGTTCATTACACACCATGGTTATATCCTTTGTAAAAACATCAGCAATTGTTGGTACTTATCATATAAGGAATACATATTTCACCCATTTCCAACTTTCTAATGAAATGTTTGTCCGCTTCTGTGTTTTCTCCTGTCATGCAAGATAAGATTATAGGCTATATTAATAACAGCCTTACTGTCACGATAAAGTGACGGGACAATGAGTAGGAAATGCCAACTCTACTAGTATGTTTTTAAACCTCAACAACCATGTGCCATGACACTTTGACTCAGCACTCGATTTGGCCACCACAATTTGCTTTTTGCTCCTCCAAGTTATGAAGTTACCTTTTACAAAGGTAGAATACCCTGTAGTAGATCTCTCATCATTAATAGATCCAACCCAATCATTATCTATATATGCCTTCAAGTTTAGATGTCCATATTTAGAAAAGAGGATACCTCTCCGAAGGTGTTTCTTAAGTACTTAAATACTCATTTTATCAGTAAAAAGATGAGCTGTCCTCAAAACATGCATGAGGTTAAGCACTCCCACAGCATAAGCAACATCAAGCCTCATTAAATCTGTATATAGGAGTCTCCTAACTAACTAGCCTCTAAAACTGCTTACCATTAGGAAGTGCCTCTGTACAGTTCTCACTGAGTTTATGATTGACTTCAATTAAGGTATCAGCTTATTCAATCCCCAACTTCTCTGCACCTTGGAAAAGATCTAGCATATACTTCCTTTGGGAAATGAATATACAATTGTTGGACTTGGCACTTCAATCCTTAGAAATTATTTTTAGAGGGCCCAGATCTTTAACTTCAAACTAAGATCTAAACTCCAACTTCTATATTCCCATGGACCAATCAGCCCAATGCTTCACCAAGAAAACCCACATACACCCTACTAGTTTTTACCTTTAGGAAGATCAACTGATTCCCATGGGCAGTTTTCTAAAAGGCACCAATTTCCTCCATCATTGCATTTTTCAGCTCAGGTAATTCCAAGGACTGCAACATTCTTACTAAAGGAAATACCAGAGATAGTAGACGTGTAAGCATGATAAAAGGAGACAAGTTATCACAGGTGGTAAAATTAGCAAAGGGATACCTGGTACATGATTGAGTACCTTTACAAAGAGGCATGGAATATTAAGATCATTAAAGGGAACAATACCTGATTGTCATGGGCATGCTACCCTTCAAGTTTTTTTTTTTTTTTTTGATCAAGCCCATTGAAGGTTTTATGAAACTGAGCTTTGATGGGGGTCGTCAGGACAACCCAGGCCTATCTGGAATTGGAGGGACCATAAGAGACAAGGATGGGAATCTGAGAGCACTCTACTCAGGACCGATGGGGAATGGAGACTCCTTAAGGGCTGAACTGTATGCAGTCCTACAAGGTATACAGATTGCAAGTGAGATAGGCTTGGAGAATTTGGTGATAGAAGGGGACTCCGAGGTGGTGGTGGGTTGGCTTAGAGACCCAGACTCAGTGATATAGTGTTATAGAAATGAAATGAAGAAATTCAAATAGGTAACACAACATATGAATTTGACTATACAATGGGTGGGAAGGGAGGCTAAATTGCTAATGCATTTGCTGACTATCTAACTAAGCAAGGAGTAACTAGGGGTCAGTTGTTTTGGGCCCAATTGTAATTTTTGTGTTGTTTTTCTCTTTTAAAGAGTGAGGCTGCACCTCACGCCTCCCCTTGGGATGTTTGTAACAGACATTTATCTTTTTTGCTGATAATGAATTCTTAATGAACTTTTACCTATCAAAAAAATATATAAGACTGCAATCTTCAAACCATCATCAAGGTTGTGAAGTCCTCCTGACTCAAGTCTACCACCAATCTGCTTCCTTGTCTTAAATAACAGAATGGAAGACCCCTCCTTTAAATAAAATCAAACTTAACTTTGATGGAAATTCCTTGGGAAATCCACGACTGTCAGGAGTGGGAGGTGGCTTCAGGGATGCAGTGGGCAAAATGGTGGCATTATACTCTGGACCGATTGGAGGGGGGGGACTCTGCTAAAGCAGAAGTGTTAGCCTTACACCAAGGATTGAAGTTAGCAAAGAAACATCGATTCAGCAAATGGGTCAGTTTGGTTGGGTTAAAAGGGATGCAAATGGGATGGCGGATACCCTAGCAAAACAAGGGGCAAATAGATCTTCATTGTATTGGGCAGAATTGTAACTGATTGCTGGAGATTGCAATTTCCTATGCAATCTTTAGCTATTGTATCTTAATCTCTCTGTTATTAATGAAAGTTTTTTACTGATCAAAAAAAAAAAAAAAAAGAAACATCGATTCAGCAGGAGGAAATTGAGGGTGATTCAAAATTGGTAGTTTCCTGGGTGGATGTCAACAGTCCAGGTGTGTGAATCCACAAACATGTTATAAGAGATTATTAACATAGAAAAGGAGTTAGATGGGTAAAGAGAAAAGCAGATGGGATGGTAGACACCTTGGAAAAACAAGGAGTGTATAGAGATCAACTGTTTTGGGTAATTCTGTGATTTGGGCTATCTAATTTGTAAAGAGGGTGATTATTCCTGTAACAGAAAATCTCAATATTGCTACCTAATCAATCTTAATGAAGTGAATTGATTACTGATAAAAAGGCATAAGCCTCAAGCATATGTTTTTATAGTTGAAATTTCTAAAAAAGGAAAAATAGAAAAAACTACAAAACAATTATATTTAGAATTTCCAATAAAAAAACCATCATATTCAAACAAAAAATGGATATTTTAAGTAGCGATAACATACATAAAACTTGATTTCAATTGTCAAATTGCCGATCAATAGACTCAATACTTGAGTTCTCAATCCCATGTTTCCAACTCAAGACTCATTCCCAAGTCACAAACTCAGATAAGTGTTTAAACAAAAATACAGAAACATTTAACTATGGACTAAAAAAACATCAAGAATGAACCAAAAGACTCTAGATCCTCATTAATCGCAACAGTAAGGACATTACTATCCACCTATTAGACAGTGTATGCCCTTAGCTTTAATAAAAAGATGTAATCTGACATTATTATGAATAAAAGTCAATATTTCATGTGTCACTTGGTATGTTTCTATGAACTTCACCCAAGTCTTACATTATAGGATTATGTCTGAGACACCATATTCAATATGTAGGCTTGAATGTTCTCAACTGCTGGATAAACATGGAGAGTTTATCCTAATAAGATTGACATTCTTATACTGCCCAAGTTATGGAGCAATTTGTCTCAGCTACTAGGATTGGACCTAAAATATAAGAATGGGTGTTTATGAAACACTAAACCGGACCATTTCCAATGTGCTCCTAGACCTTACAATAAGTGAAGCAAATTGTTGCATGTAGTCCCTTGATTTGATAATGCTACTATCCTACTTGTCAAGCCAATGCCTAGGCAACTAGGCTATTTGTAGGGGTCGCCTCACCCAAACAACTGAAGTTTAGGAGGGATTGGCTTGATCTTACTTCTTTCACCAGAATATTCACCCCCTAGGTAGAAGGCTGAATGAAGAAGTTAAAGGAGGATGCACAAGTAAATAGTCCATCTAAGGAAATGGACCACACCCTGTCGTCCTCAACACTTTGATTTGAAAAGATAGTTTCAAGTCTGGTCAAAAGAAGGATGAGCGATTCACACTCCATTTCCCCCGATCCCAATTTATCCCCGAGGTTGAAAAATTCACAAACTTAGAAATGGGTTCACATTTGTAGTTGGAGAGTGCATAAAGCGCAGGAAATTGGACCTTCAATGGCTGATTAC